CAAAGAATCAATGAATTAAAGAGTTGGTTCTTTGAGAGATTAAATAAAATTGACAAATCTTTAATCAATCTTATTTTAGAAAGGAAAGAAAAGACTCAAGTCTGTGTTATTAGGAATGAAAAAGGTGAAAAATCACAATCGATCTTGCAGAAATCCAGAAGATTATCATACCTACTTTGAGAACCTGTATTCTAATAATAGGGAAAACAGAATAAGTGGACAGATTCCCAGATACATGTGAATTACCAGATCTGAGTCAAGAAGATATAAACATTCTAAATAACCCAATATTAGTCAATGAAATTGAAGATGTAATTAAAAACCTACCAACAAAGAAAAGTCCAGGCCTTGATGGATTCACTGCTGAATTTTACAAGAAATTTAGAGAAGATTTCATGCCACTACTTTTCAAACTCTTTAATGAAATTGAAAGGGAAACAATACTCTTAAATTCATTTCTAGAAGCAAGCATTACCCTGATACCAAAATCAGAGAAGGATCCAACCAAAAAAGAGATCTACAAGCCAATCTCCCTAATGAATATAGACACAAAAATCCTCACTAAGAGCCGGGCATGGTGGCACACACCTGTAATACCAGCCCTAGGGAGGCTGAGGCAGGAGGATCACTGCAAGTTCAAGACCAGCCTGGGCTACAAAGTGAGTTCAAGGCCAGCCTGCACTGCATAGTGAAACCTTGTTTTTAAAAAAAGATACGCAATAAAAGTCCTCAATAAGATACTGGCAAAAAGAATGCAGCAAGTCATAAAGAAGATTATACACCATGACCAGTAGGAATCATTCCAAGGATGCAGGGATGGTTCAGTGTATGCAAATCAATAAATATAACACACCATATCAACAGAGCCTAGGACACAAACCATGTGATCATCTCAATAGATGCAGTAAGCATTTGACAAAGTCCAACACCCATTCATGATAAAAAAAAATACCAGAAAGTTGAAATAGATGGTTTTTATCTCAATCTGATAAAAGCCATCTATGACAAACCAACAGCTAACATCATACTAAATGGACAAAAATTGAAAGCTTTCATTCTAAAATCAGGAACAAGACAAGGATGTCCACTATCACCACTCTTATTCAATGTTTCTGAAAATATTAGCCAGAGTAATTAGACAAGAAAAAGAAATAAAAAGAATGAAGACAAGAAAATAAGTTAAATTACTATTATTTGGGGATGACAGGATACTCTACATAGAAGACCTCAAAAACTCCACCAAAAGACTGCTAGATTTAATAACTAAATTCAGTAGCATAGCTGGATACAAAGTTAACATTCAAAAACCAATAGTATTCCTATACACAAATATCAAACAAACTGAGAGAAAGTAGAGCAACCACACCTTTCACATTAGCATCCCCCCAAAAAAGAAACACCTAGGAGTCAATCTAATGAAGTAAAAAACCTTAATACTGAAAACTACAGTACTCTGAAAAAGGAGATCAAACAGGGTATCATAAAATGGAAAGATATCCCTTGTTCTTGGGTAGGAAGAACCAATCTCATGAAAATGGCCATACTTCCAAAACTGTTATACAGATTTAATGCAATCCCAATCAAAATACCAATAGTATATCTCACAGAATTAGAGAAAACAATCTTAAAATTCACTTGGAACCAGAAGACACCTAGAATAATGAAAACAATTCTGGGCAACAAAGGCAAGGCAAGAGGCATCATAATCCCTGATTTGAAATTATATTACAAAGCTACTATGGTAAAAACAGCATGGTACTGGCAATAAAATAGAACCAAGGATCAATAGAGGAGAT